TGTGCAGAGGGCCAATGGGATTGGCGGGGGCGGGGGGGGCGGTGTAGAATTCTCTCTGAGAGCCTGTTTCCTGTTGGGCAGTTGCATCCGCAAAGATGATTCCCTCCCGAGAAACTTAATGGACTTAGTCAACATCCCGACCGACAACAGTTATTAGGTGCTGCGGGTATCACAACCACGGCACCGGAGTCCTGGCTGCGCAAAACGCATCTGGCTCCTGAAAGCAAACGGTGGAGCACAAAGTGCCGCTGCTTCGGGGGTGGAGGAGTAGGCGGGCAGCGACAAGGAAGATGCTATGGCAACGGTTCCCTGCACTGGGAGAGTCCCCTTCTCTCCCCTGCTCGCGAGGCTCAGGGGCTGAAAGTTAAATTGGTGCCTCCCCAGATGAGGCCGTCAGTCAATGCAGTACATCCATCGGGGCTCACTCTCCGGGAGTTCTGCTCTCTGGTTGCATGAGGACTCTCAACTCCAGGGTCACCTCCCTGCCCTCAGGCATTATATTGTATTTATTCTGCCAAGAGGAATGTAAGGGAACCTGAAGTCTGTGAGGGTTATCGAGGGTCTCTTGGACCAGTAATGTTGCATAGTTATGTAAACAACCTCCTCCCCCCACACACACTGTTACTACTCTTCGGCCTCTAGTGGGACAGAAAAACAAGTACTACTGAGCTAATTCCTCTATTTGCATTCTTAATAGCTAACCTTCTTTTCTTGATAAATCAGAATCAGAATACAGTTATTTCAGCAACAGACGCACAGTCCTCATCAATTGTAGTGATCTCCAGATATTTTATTTCTTAGAGGGTTTCATTATGTGAATAATCAGTAACCTAAAGTCATAAAACAATAACATATTAAGGGGCCAATTACAAAGTATCTTCGTGTGCATTGTCAAATATGATCTTCCTACAACTTTAGAAGGCAAGCAAGGGAAGACATACCTTATTGTGGTTGTACATATCCCAAAACTAAGGCTCAGAGAAATTAAATGACCTTCCTAAATGTCACATGGTCAGTTAGAATTAAAATAGAAAAATCACATGCTTTAACTTTGTAGGGATCATCTTCATTTTTTTCTTACATAATGCGTGGACTCCAAGATATACCATATTTTTATTTCCATAAAAATCTTTATTCAGTGACCAAATAACAAGCTGAAATCTAAAATCACTATCATTAATTCATATTCCTGAAATGTATAGAATGCTGTTTTAAGTATAATAATATTTTCACATAACATTTGCTCCAAAGTGTCTATATAATTATTCTCTCAAACTTATTCCTCTATTAATAATTAGATACATGTTTTTACATCTTTATTTTTATCTCTGTATTTTGATATTTCATTTAAACATTTCTCAAGAACTTTCCATAAATGATTATGTATAAAATAACTGAGGCAAAATTGTGATTGATATAAAATCAATTATTATCAGTTGAGAGTGGAAGCTGTAAAATTTATATGCCTTCCAATTTGCCACATTAGCACTGTCATGTTAGCAATTGTTATTTTCCTGTAAAAACTAGAAAACAGTGAGGCATATGTAATGAAGCCTTTATATTTTCTCTGCCGCTCTCCTTCTTTTCCTTCAGTACTTTAATGAGAAAAGAAACAAATAGATTCCAGTTCACTTTTCACTTTTTGTTACTGTACAGATTTTAGTGTTCCTCATCTTTAAAGAATGGCACAACGGCTCAGGGCACCACTGGATAGGCCAAGTGAGCCACTGAATATAAAGCATTCGAAACAAAAGACAAATCAGTTGAGTCCATCAGCATTAACTGAGTACCTACTACCTACGCTATGCTTGGTGCTTTGGAAACCCACAGTAAACAGGACATTTTACAAGCAGGAGAGATATCTGTAAAAGATTAGGACAGTTTCTCTTGAGATACATTATTGCAGATATCCTCACTTTATAAGTTGTTAAAAGATCAGCTGAATTCATTGATGGTTATCTGCTTTAAAAATAAAATATTAGAAAGGACGTAGCATTGGTCATTAATATTAAATTATTGTAGTTGATATATACATATATTCATACACACACACACACATCTCAGATTGTGGCTCTTTTGAAAATGGTTTCCTTATTACCTGACGTAAATAATTGCTTTGTTGACTCAACAGAGTACTTGAAAGACTTAAAAGAAAAAAGAGAACACAACTTTAACCCTTTCTTCCCGAGAGTATCCTCTTTAAAACATATTGAATTTAATGACCCTTTAGGTGTTTAATCCTAAACACAGCTTACGAATACCCAGTAACTTATTCATTTTATCCCCCTGATCTTTATGCTGCAATAGGAATTAAATCATTCCTACAACTTGCAGCGGCGCCCATTAAACAACTTTCTAATCATCTTTTTAAAAAAACTTCAGTGATATAAATTACCAAAGAGGTGACAAAGAAGCAAAACTTACCGTTAAATTGCATTTTAAAACCGTAAGAAAGCTTTCCAGGATTTGCTCCATTCTTCATCCCTGGAGTGGGAGAGAAGGTGGGAGAGAGCGAGAGGAACAGGCACGCTCCTGTGCGTGGAGCTGTGTCAGCTTCCGTCCTCGCTGCTGCTGGTCCATACAAAGTGCCCGGGTGGCTGAGCACGGTGGGCTGCTGCTGGTCCATACAAAGTGCCCGGGTGGCTGAGCACGGTGGGCTGCTGCTGGTCCATACAAAGTGCCCGGGTGGCTGAGCACGGCGGCTTGGGAATCTCCTCTAGATCCCATAAGGCCTTTGAAGGATCCCCTTCCCTTCACATCCCTGCTTAGTGAATTAGCCTTTGTGAATCTCATGCCATTCGGTGATTGCTGCTTTATTTAAGTGGGGGAAAGCCCCCTGCCTGTATAGGCCTTCAGTTTGTATGGGAGAAAATAGGAAGGTGTGGGGTTGCCTGGCACAATGTGTGCATAGATGTTTAGGAAAAGAAAATGCAAGACAGCCATCCCAGGGTGGGGGCACAGACCAAAGAAGGCCTCTGGAGAAGGTGGGTCTCGAAAGAAGTGGGCATATTGTCCTGAAAGACAAGGAAGGACAATGCAGATGGAGGGAATATATGTTAAATAGGAGAGTCAGTGCACAGATGCAACTCTTTATCCCTGATATTTATCAAACTTGCAATAAAGAAGAAATTAGACCCCCAAACCCATAATGATTTATAGACCACATAACCCCTATTTAACTCATTTATTTGATAATTTATGCACATATGGCATATGCAAAATAATGGCATATGAAAAATAATCCTAAATAGAATTAAATAGTTAAATTGTTAGGTAGATCTCTTTCTACTTGATTGCACAAGCAACTGATTTGTATTTGTAGATTCAAGAAACAAAATCACAAAAATTGGGAAACGATGCTAATTAGAAAACATTTATAAGTGTCAAAAGGGTAAAGCTCGGCTTTGTTGCAGCTAAAATTTGGCTCGTTGATATTTCAGTCCACAGTGAAATGTAAAAATGCACTTTGGCTCCCTGTCCCCATCACCACCATCAAGCGCACACACATGTGTGCGCGCGCACACACACACACACACACACACAGAATGTATAAAGGAGCACACATGGATAACAGAAGCAGGGGTAATTTACACTGGACAAGATGCACACAGCTGTTAATGCAAAAATCACTACTTAACCAAACATTTTCTTGTGTTCAGCTTATCCCTGAACAATTATTTCATTTAATTTAATCACTGCTTTTGAATACCTTTGAAACTCTTTCTGGGATAGAAACTCTTTTGGGATAGGAACTGAAAAATAATAAGTGTACACAATAATACTTTGTGCATAAATTGCCAAACTCTAGAATATTTGGAAAGAATCAGAAAGCTGGTTGCAAAGTGCTAAAATATTTGGAGAGAATCAGAAAATTGAGTTTGGGCTTCCAATGCACTCAGCTTGTAGGTCCCTGATGAAATTTCTCTCATCTTTTCATTTCACTGAACTCTCCTGCATCCACTTTAATGAAACAAGAGTTGCTTCTGCAATAAGGGTAACAGCAGAGAATACAAGGTGCCAGAAAATATCCCTTTCATTGGCAAAGTGTGTATATGCTAAATTCTTAGAAAATGTCCTTTTATGAGTTCATTCAGAATAAATACCTTCATATGCTGGGAGGCAGGGCACAAAGTCCATGTAACAAACCCTAAACAGCAGATGGTGAGGCCAGGTCATCACTCCTGAAAAATTCAATAGTAAAGAAATTACTTTTCCCTTTGAACTGGGTATTAGTTTACTGTTCTGATCAGTTTTTAAGTTAGTTACCACTAGCTTCAATGTGTCAATTTTTAGGCCATGGAGTACCATCCTCTCTGCTTTCTTAGCAGCGAGGAAAATCTTAATTCAGGGCAGGAGACCTTTCTGTAAAAGAAAAGAGCCAATTGAGAATTTAAAAAAATATATTTAAAAAGTATTTTCTCTAAGAAATAGCAACTACCTCAGTGGGCCTAAGGCTAGGGAGGCTGTGGCTCATTTTAAAAAGTTTTCTACCTGAATTCTGAGATAATGAAATTCCTTAAAATCTCTTTATGATATGTTACAGGGCTCCCTAGTCCCCAGCAAATGACTCTTTTGATTGTCCTTTTAAGTTATCTGCATGTTCACTTAAAGATGCCTTGGAACTGAGGAAAATCGCTATTAATTACCCTTGGGGGGAGGGGGAGATGGAGGTGGCCAGTTGTTTTGCCTCAAAGGAAGCTTTGCTGGGGCGCAGCTGAAGTCTGAAATGCCCCTGGGTGTTCTCATGTGGTCAGTTTGGTTTGTTTCGGTGACTGTTTTAGTAAAAACATTGCAAGACACTGCAGTCACCAAGAGCAGGAAAGGGGAGAGAGTCTGCAGTGTTGGAAAGGGACTGGAATGG